TTAACGACTAGAAAACTTCAATTGTCACTTTTAGTCGATTAAAATGTATTTTAATCAATTAGCTAATAGATTAAAATGTATTTTAATCTATTAAATCAGAAAAGTTTGAGTTTTCAATTTTTACTCGTTTTAATCGATTAATACTTGTTTTAATCGATTAAAACAATGCGATTTTGACTATGGACATCAATTATATAATATGAAAGTACATGGAATCAAAACCACTGAAAATCTAAGTCCTAGACACCGAACTACAATTATTACAAAAGTTTTCTATTGCAATACAAGTCTTCATAACATCTTCTTGAATCTTGATTTCTCTTGACTTGATTTGGACATCATCAAAACTTCATCGTCATCATTTTGCTAACAGACTTTATATAAGAGAATGGGTTACTCTCAATTTTAATCATTAAGCCTACTCCTCTATTCAAAAAACACACCATCGAGTTTAAGTGAGTTAAGGTTTAGAAAACAAAGTTGTGTTTGGATTTTTAAAGCTGCAATGGCAAGAAGTACACACATTATTCTTTCGATTATTTGCTTCCATTGTTTTTTATCCGGAGATGTTATTATGATGTTAATATAACTTGTTTAGGTCAATTTTTATACTGTTATTCTTTCATAATATAACATTTTGTTTATTTCTTAAATCACTAAAGCCTTAAATTGTATTGTTATTTTTTAGCCTAATTTTTATGTGTTTAAGGACATTCAAATTAATCAGACGATTAATGTGAAACAAAGGAGATTATAACTCTCATACATCTCTTGTTTACACAATGCATACATGATCATGTCACTTCATCAAGTAAGTTAGACTATGAGATTTAAAGATATCTTATGTTTATGTATATGCAGATATGTACAATTAACATGTGAGAAGTTAATTAATAATGTAAAATAAATCTTTTAGTCCAAATGATGAATTATAGATAAGTCGGTGGATTTATGAGTGGAGTCGTAGGTACTTATATTCTTAATTTAAATACATTTCATTTCGAACTTTCTTTTTTTCCTAAATAAAAGACTATAAAATATGTGTGGTACAGAAATAATATACTCCTTTGTTTTATTAACTACGTAGAAAAACAATTAAGTATAATGTCATGAAATTCATATGAAAATTATAATATGTTGACTAGCATCAATGATCCACCTTACTTTCTGAAAGATTTTTTTAGCATATAGTAATTCATACACTAGTGCAGAAAGGGCTTTAGACGTCTGTTATTTTGGACTTTTAACGTCTGATCTCTGTTCGAAGTCTATACGAGTGACGTTAATGAGACGTCGGACCCAATAGGTCCGACGTTTATATAGACGTCAAATCCATACAAGAACGACGTCTATATAGGTGTTTGACACTATAGATCAGACGTCTAAAACGTTGTCGTATTTGATTGCATCTAAAACGTCTCGAGTTGCTCTTGGTTCATGGTGATTCGAGTTTACAACTTTATATTTTAGTTAGAGAATGTATTGTACTTTTTTTTGTATTGGATGATTTTAAAAACATAGTGGAGAGGAGTGCAAAACGCAAGAAATCGCCGCCCAAGAACGCCGCCCAAGAACGTGAGAAAAACTGCATCAAAACCCAACGAATACGCATTTTAATCAAAGAAAGATAATTCATCAAAGAGTGATGTAATCGGAGTAAAATTAATTAAAAATGGTGCAAAAGTGAGAAAACGAACCTGAAAAGTGTAACCTGTAGGGAGAATACGCGAGGAAGATGATGAACATTAAGTGTGCGTAACTGCTGCCTAGCGTTCTCGGTGTTTTAATACAGTCATATAGACGTCGGTTCCCCCCACATGAGACGTCTATATGGCGGTAGAAGTTGGATTGACGGGATCGGACGTCTAAATGGAGTTAAAAAGTGACTTTTTAGATTTCAAAAATGAGTATATAGATGTTGGTTCCCCTCACATGAGACGTCTATATGGCGGTAGAAGTTGGATTGACGGGATCGGACGTCTAAATGGAGTTAAAAAGTGACTTTTTAGATTTCAAAAATGAGTATATAGATGTTGGTTCCCCTCACATCAGACGTTGTTATGGCTGTAGAAGTCGGATTGGCGAGATCGGACGTCTAAATGGAGTTAAAAAGTGACTTTTTAGATTTTCAAAAATGAGTATATAGACGTCGATTTCCCCCACATCAGACGTTTATATGGCTGTAGAAGTCGGATTGGCAGGATCGGACCTCTAAATGGTATTAAAAAGTGACTTTTTAGATGTCGATTCCCCCACATTTGACGTCTATATGGCTGTAGACGTCTGTTCCCTTCAGAACAGACGTCTATATGGTTGTTTTATTTACAAAAAAATGCCACCGGTTAGTTTTTACGTTGGATATTCGAGGATTGAATGTCTAAAAGGTGACGTTAAAGGTATTTTCTGCACTAGTGATAATTATTTAAGAATTTTATTGGAGTACAATGAGTTGAAAGTCATGATATAAAAACGACTTTTATATAAGAATCTTAATACTACATCATTAGTTTATATTATAAACTATATAAAGATATAAAGTAATTAAATTTTATTTCTCAATTAATTTAACCATTTGACTAAGAAAAGCCAAAAAGCGAGTTCAAGAAAGGAATATTCTTTGGAAGACTTTCAAAACTGATGGGCTTCAAGTACGTGAAATAACACTAAATATTCTTCTATATATTTAAAAAGGAAAATGATACTTGAACAACCATTTTTGACAACATTTAGACACGCGCAAACGTGTCAAAATATGAGTGGTCCAATTAAAAAAAATAAATAAAAATGGACCACTCAAATTTAGACACGTGTGCGCGTGTCTAAATGTTGTCAAAAATGGTTGTTCAAGTGTCATTTTCCATTTAAAAAGAATACAATTTTTTCAATCCGTGTGTTTGAATAGAAGAAAAAACACATTTTCCAGAAATGTGTGTTATTCCAATTACATATCCTCCTTTGGAAACGTATAGAGATAAGTCAGAAGCCTATTATGTTTGGAAGTTTATTTTTCAAATTCTGAAAGATACTTAAGATTAAGACAGGGATAATAAGAGCTTTTCAGGGATGTAATATAAAAAAATTAAGACAATGAATAATAAAAATAATAAATTACGGGATAGATATATAATTGATTTGATATAATAATCATTTTATATATTTTATTGTAATATAATATAAAAAAATTATATTTTTAGAATTAAATTTTAATTTTTTAAATTTATTTGAATTCTAATTAATTAATGCGTTAATTATGTTTTTTTCCGTAACGCAAATTAAAATAAATCTCTTTGAAACTTTAATTTAATTTAGTTTTTCAATTTTAAAAATACGTAAATTTAATTTTTTTAACAAAATTTTATTAAGTTTATTTAATATTTTAAATATATTTTTAACTAATATTAAAGTAAAAATATGTCAATTATAATAAACAATTTAATTATTATCATAAAATATGTTTCAAATGGCAATTAAACTTAACAATTGAATAAAAAAATAAATTTATACATTTCTAAGACTTAAAAACTAGATTGAACCAAAGTTTTAATTTATCCTAAAGAAATAAATTTACACATTTATAAAACTTAAAAGAATAAATTTATCCTAACTTATTTTAATAAAACATGAATGAGAGTGTGATTCCTGTAAAATTATTATATTAAAAAAATGCAAAAGAATCTTAAAAATAATGTGAGATAGAAAACCCCATAAAAATTAAATTAGGATATGATAGAAGGACTCCTATTACGGTGTTGGACAATTATCATAAGAAAAATAACAAAAAAAATATTTTTTATAACTTAAATATGCAAAATATTTTTCATATGATTTTTAAAAAAAATTATAACAACTTAATTTTAACTTTCTCAACCCCGTTTGAATAAAAAAAAACATTTTCGAAAAAATCGTTTTCTTCTAGTTGCATCCTTCTTTGGAAGCGCATACAGATAAGTCAGAAGTCTATTATATTTGAAAGATTACTTTTCAAATTCTGAGAGATACTAAAGATTAAGACAGATATCATAAGAGCTTTCCGGTGAAGTATTATAATAAAAAATAGATTTAATGTCTCAGTAGGTCCCTATTTTTGTTCAGAATTTGAAATAGGGCCATTTATTTTTTGGCGTCTCAATTGGGTTCTCCAATAAAATTTTCATGTGTGTTCCTCGAAATAGACAGATAATTATTTATGACTTAATACTTGTGGTTAGGGTTTTACATAAATATACAATACAAAACCTATAAAAACTAAATTAAGATACGATAATAGGGCTCCTAAAAATGCTATTAGGGTTTTTGGACAATTTCATAAACATCCAAAAAAGAAAAATTAAAATTACTTTTCATAACTTAAATTCGCAAAAGCTTTTTCATGACTTTTTTGAAATTGATAAACAAATTCATTTAATTTATGAAAAGCACCTTTTTTTTCTGATGCAAAATGCTGAAGAAACTATATTGTAAACAACTTTCATGACTATTCGAACTAAATATCTCCTAGAGAGTTATTTTCGCAAAGCGAAAGGGAGAAAATTATTCAAACATAAATCCTGTTTCCTGAAGAGTAACTTTCGCAAAATTATTTCATCATTTTGTGACCTTTAAGTCCTGAATTATTTCCATACTCGTGGTTTATGCTAAAAGAAAAATTCAAATGCGGGTGAAACAGTGGTAGTATAGAACATTGCACCACGGCATAAACACGTTCAAATGTCAATGTTATATAGTGGATCAACGCATATGATAGAGTTTTATCAGTCTTTAAACATAAACTTGTATAAAGAAAAGTTTATTGTCCTTAATAGTCTTATCGTATCCACTACAAAACACCCAAAATCTATATAAAATAAACTATTGATATAATGCACAAACAGAATATTGTGGTAGTTTTAGTGAGAGATTTTCTATTTTACAAGTTATGCGTGGTCCAACTGAGAGATATTTAAAAAGAAAGATGCTCCTCCAAGAATAAAATAATCTATTACTATATGCATGATCGTACATCAAAACTACGTGTAAAAAAACAAATCAATGTAAATGCTAAAAACAAATATACAACTTGCATGCATGATGGTGTGCTATGATCTCTCCATACGAGAGCCATCAACCTAGAATACTTCATTCATTGACCAGGAATCAAGGCACTTTTTCTGAGTCTAAAAAGATTTGTTGGTTTATAAATTATATATACAAAGGACTAAACAAAATGCTTTGTACTTTAATAGGATGATAAGAGTCTAAACAAAACTGAAGGAAAAAGCATAAACACTTCTATCTCCCTGTCACCATTGTAACTGTCAAATCGTTTGACACGTCAAGGCCTTCGCTATAAGATTGATCTCCATCATCAAATTTCCTCATGGAAGCAGTGACCAAAGGTTGTTTAGGCAGAGGAAGAGTTGTGTCTTCACTTGCCAGCATTAACAATACAGAGGCCATGTTTGGTCTGCGAGATGCTGAGTCTTGCACACATAACATTGCTATGTGTATGAATCTCAATGCTTTACTCTTTGGAGTTGAATCACCAATGGAAGAATCAAGAAGTTCCATTACTCTCTGCTCACTCCACATGTGCCAGGCCTGCATCCATTTTTTCATCATAAACCATCAGCCTTCACCACTCCAATAAACCAGGAATTTTAAGTACTTTTACTTTCACAAACATTGTATAAATTTGTAACTTCTCAAGACTCCTTAGAGGTGGGCACTTTTCAAGTAATGATATAAATTTGCAACTTACTAACATGAACACCAAAGGAAAATAAGGAAACAAATACCTTATGTATTTCAACTTTAAAGAAACTTTTTCACTAAATTTGAAGTTTTGTGAGAGTTGTTTTAGTTATACTCACATATCCTATGAGACTTGAATCTTCTGTGTTGCGAAAGCTAGTGTTCCTGCGGCCACTCATAATCTCTAGTAGCAGTACACCAAAACTATAGACGTCAGATTTAACTGAAAAGAGACCTTCCATTGCATATTCCGGCGACATATAGCCACTGCATCAAAGATATAGAGATTAGTAGTCTGGTTCACATAAGATGGAAGAGAGTGATTTTGTCAAAAAGTGAAATAAAAGCATACTTACTATGTACCAACCACTCTGTTTGTGCTTGCTTCATTTTGGTTTCCTCCAAATATTCTGGCTAAGCCAAAGTCTGAAATTTTTGGATGCATGCTTTCATCTAATAAAATGTTGCTTGCTTTAAGATCCCGATGAATTATTCGTAGTCTTGAATCCTGGTGCAGGTAAAGTAGCCCTCTTGCAATGCCTTCAATTATTTCAAAGCGCTTTGTCCAGTCTAGTTGTGTTTTCTTCACTGGATCTGCCATGATGTTACAAGAACAAGCAAATTATTAAGATCATGCATGCACTGGTTGGTTCTGTTTCAAACTTATCCGAAATAGGATGCAGAAAAGGAATATGCTCAGTTAATGGTAAGAAACATACCAAATAAAAAACAGTCCAAGCTTTTGTTTGGCAAGTACTCGTATACCAGCATTTTTTCTTCTCCTTGAATTGAACATCCAAGCAGTCTAACCAGATTTCTATGTTGTAGTTTGGCTATTAGCATCATTTCATTCTTGAACTCCTCTAATCCTTGACTAGACTTTCTTGAAAGCCTCTTAACAGCTATTTCCTCTCCTCCTGGAAGCTTCCCCTGGTCAGTGGAATAAATGAAGCTATTAACCTTTTATTACGAAATGAGTTTTGCGTTTATGGAACACCTTTTTTTCTCTTGTCTTTCCATCACATACATACTTTTTCTCACTCACTCTTTTTGTTGTACACTAAACGATATTCTTAAGGTAAACTTAACAGTTAAAATTTTACCTTGTATACAGGACCAAATCCCCCTTGTCCCAGCTTATTTTTTTCGGAGAAATTGTCTGTTGCTGCTGCAAGGAAGCTCAAAGTGAAGAATGGAAGCTCTGCCTTATTCCCTTCCAAACCTAAGTCAGTTGATCCTGAAAATTCTGTCGATAAATCTGTACTCCTCGTTGGATCAATGATCGAAAACTCACCAATGTTGTTAGCCGAAGCCGGGGAAGCTGTTGACAAATGGAAAGGAAGAGATAACATAAGAAACTGTTGGTAATACCTTGTCATTCATTCATCTGAAGGATGAAAAAATAAAATTCTTACGGAAATAAATATATTACCTTCACGTTTTCTCTTAAACCTCCATACCAGCAATACAGAGATCCCAAGGCAGATGAGCCCCACCACAACAGTTATTATTATTATTATTATCCATGTTTTGGACTTTTTCTCTCCATCGTTTGCTTCTGAAAACATAAAAATCATATGCTGTAAATACTACCAGAAAATCAATGAAACTTGTGAGAGCTTGGATGGGATTTGAAGTGATTTGCCATCTCATCATATTCACAGACAACAAACTAACAGATGTTCCTCCTCCTATATGCCATATGGGAAAATCTCTAACCTAACGCATTAAGCAAATAATTTCCTGTGCATTGAATGTTATAAGCACAAGATTTCTAAACTTGATTGGTTTGGACATGAAATATGACAAATTCAAGTAGTTCCTCGAGAAAGCATGTAAGGTGAGATGTAAAATGGATTTATAAATCAAGATTAAAAACAAAACAAAAAAGATCAATGAAAAGAAAGACAAATTACTCGAGATCTTACCTAACTCAGAATCAGCAAGACGGATGTTGAGTACACTTCCAATATCATTTTCAGTGTGTTGAACATCGACCAAGTCCACATACCAAATCATGCACCCAATTCCAATTGTATATGAATACGCAGTACAAGAACTATTCTGCAGACAAAACCGCTTGCATTCCTCATCGTTAGAAGGACTCTCCAGACGTGCAAAATCTGGCAACTTTGTACATCTTTTAACGGAGAAACCATCATCACCAACAGTAACCTCAGTTCCAGAACTATTTCTCTCAGCCTTCAGTGGAGTCCTCCTCTTACAACCCCCTGAATTTCCATCATTCCACTCACTCAATTCCCCTTGTTGAAACCCGTGCAAGCAACTACAAACAGATGCCTTAGAGATATCACACACTGCAAAATTGCCACAAAAATTATAATGCTCACAATTATTATAAGGCTCGTGTTGTGTATTATTCCATTGTGTCTCATCTTCATTCGATATAAACTTCTTTTCAAACCCATCCCAGGTTATCTGAAACCTCACCTTTTCAGTTTCATTCCATGTATATGTAAAATGATTCCCATTAAGTTTAAAACCAAAAAGAGAGCTTCCTGTCATATTAGAGACACCAGTGAATACTCTACCATCCCAGTACCCAGTTCTCCACCTCCTTTTTTCCCCTTCCAAAATCAAAATCTGTATGGTTGATCCCCCAGAGTCAACCCCCATTGAGTAGTTTCCCGGTGAAGGATCCGTTGCTGATTTCCACGACCTGAACATACTCGTTCCAGCATTAATTGGTAGAGACATACCCGGCACGAAGGTATCAGTTGGATTCTCAAAGCTTTGCCACACCTTTTTCTCATGTTCTGATTCTTCTGAAAGAACAAGGTTCCCGTCATCACCAAGAACAGCTGTTGTGTTTCTAGTCGATATAGACTTGTTAGTTGACCACACCTCGTTGTTCTCTCCATCGAAAACAACCAAGTTTCCGTCACCTTTGATTTTGATCGAACCTCCTCTTCCCATGATGGGTTTCTCTCTATTTGCTACCCATATGAATGCCGTAGCCGGACTAGGAAACTTGCGGTACCAAATCCCAACGTACCTTGAAGAGTTATCAAAACCGAAGAAACCCATTTGAAAGCTGAGGTCTTCTGACACCAAGTTGTCATCACCATTGTTGTCTCTGATTTCTTGCTCTCCTGTCAGGGAATTGACAGCATGAGAGAACGAGGCATGAAAACAGAGAAAGAAGAGAAGGAGAAGAAAGTTTGTATATTTGGGTGCAGTGATCATGCCCATGTCCCTGAGATTACACAGAGGATTACGTGGTTTGGTGTGATGAGGCATAAGAATGATGAGAAATGAGTAAATAATAAATATAAAGAAGAAGGTTCAATGGCTCCTCTTCTCTGACCAAGTAGGTGTCACGTTGACATACATTTGACCACTTTAGCCACATGATGAACACTACCAACGTTTTCTTTTTATTCTTTGAACTCAATCATAATTAATAATTGTACCGTAGAGTCCGGAGGTTTGGTAATGTGTATCACATAGGTTAGATGTTCCTCGAGGATAAGAAACAGCTAAACAGGGGTTAGACATTTGGATTTCCACAAATAACACTGAAGGACTCCAGCAATAAGGGAAGCAAGATAAGTTTTTCCTACAATAATTAATTAAGATAAATAATAATTAGGGATAATAAATTAAGATTAGACTGACATTAAAGTGTCACTAAATCTCAAACTCAGAAAACTATAAATATAGATGAAGTTCTGAAAACTATAAATATAGAGGAAGAAGATGATCGCATTATTATGTATTTAATATTATTGCTTTGATTATCTTATGCTGACTTAAATATCAAATAATACTTCAAACAATTGGAATAAAAATAAAGATAAAAACGTGATTTTCATTGCGAAGGTGTCAGAAGTTACGTTTCAAACAATAATCAATATTTTTGTTCTATGTATTCAAATATTATATTGTTTTAGTTAAAGGTGCAAACTATTTAATCCCTTATAGTTATAAATTTAAAACAGTTTTTGTGTGATCCTTTTCACTTGTATGATGCACGGTTAAGTTTACGTTTATGTAACAAGTTTTTAATTTTATCAGATAATATATTTTTAATTTGATTGAAGTGAGTTCTTAAACTGGTCTTTCCTGTGGTAAGAGACCAAATTAAAAAAAAAAATCTATAATATATGGATCAAAGTTAAAATATCTTACTTATAAAGATTAAATTAAAAATGTGTAAAATAAATATTGGTGATAGAAAGCAAATCTATAATAGTTATAGGATTCAGTTTAATAAGGTTTTAAGTTTAAGAATTAAATTGAGAAACTACTCGTAAATTAGTATATTATTACCTCTTAAATTTTAACTTTCTTTTTTTGTGATTTAATAATATAGAATAAACGAAGAAGGTTGAAATGAAATGAGTGGTATGAAAAATGAGTGGAGAGAGTGAAGTGGGAGTTGGAATGAAGAAGATTGAATTGGTTGTGTAAGTATTACTGGTTTGGAAAGGTTAAAAACATTAAAACAAACACGTGGTGGTGGTTAGTTAATGAATAAGAAGTTGAAAAACTTTGAAGATGGAAATATTCATGGTAACAGGTGTACCTTCTCAATTAAATATTGTTTTTTCTCATATATGAACAAATTATACAGAATTATACCAATTTTCTTATGAGTAAATATATTGACTTTAAGAGCCTGCGCTGAAAAAGGAAAGAAGACTCCAGGAACCCACGAGCCTTGGAATATTTTCTTCCGTAGAAGCGCATCATGATGGATTTTTCAACTGTAAGCAGAAGAAAAATGCTACACGGAATGGGAAAAATCTGCACATTCAAAATGGACTCCTCAATTACCAAGTAAGTTGGGTTATTCAATGGTTTCTACGTCAGATTAGGTTTTGTAACACATTGTTACTTTGAAATTCTATGAACCAAACTCAATCCAACTTATCACTCTAAAATTATTATTAGTCTTATAATTTTTCTTACTATTACAAAATTATATTTCATGTCACACAGTTTATATCCAATTTTAAAAAGAACGACAAAAAAAATCATGACATTTTTTTAAATAGTCTAGTTTAAATTAAAAATTCCAACTTTTTTTTTCTTTTTGCATTCTTTCCAATTTCCTATTGTTTCTTTCTTTTGGGGTAACAAAAGATAAATATACTACTACCAAGTGGGTGTTTTTTATAAATGTGTAGGAGGCCATCTTTTTGGCTGAATAAGTGATTGTAGGAGTTTGGTTATGGTGAGTATTTTTTCCCCGATTACATTAAAGTTTCGTGGATCTAAATATCTAATTGAGATGAGTTATTATATATTGAAATTGAAAAATATTTATTATTGAGAATCTGAATGTATGAATATCTCAATTAATTTTGTGTTTATAATCTGTTTTGTTTGTTTTTCATATATCCTAAAACTTTGTTGTATTCATTTTATTGTATTTTTGCATTTTCACTGTTCACGCGATTATTCAAGTATTAGTTTATAACACTAAGGTTCATTATATATGTAAATTAATATTAATATTTTTCTATATTTCAAATTTTAGTTTAAGGCAAAATCGATTAAATAAAAAAAAATACAAAAATTTACATACACCACCATGTTGTAACATCCCAAAAATACAGTATCAAAACCATATAATAGGAATATCACAAATTAATAATATTACATATCAGTCTTACAAAAGAAAATCAATACAAATACGGCCGAACGACCTTAAAATATTACGAGAAATTTAATAACTTCACAAAAGTTGAAACTAGGCCGAACGGTTTACAAAAGACCTATACCGAAAGGCCAACAAAAGAAGTAGCTCAAAAGATGACCGAACGGTCATATAAGGAAACCAACAACTGACCGAACGGTTCTACTGTTCGGTCTTAACTTCTACCTCTACCAAATTTTCTTCTTCCAGCGCCTCTTCCAGCAACGCTTCTCCTTCTGCTCACATCCACATGGATGATCATTGCAACGGAAGGACACACACCGAACGTACAAAACGGATAAGACAGGAAAATAGGGTAAGCTTATGTAATTCAATTCAATCATCAACATGTACTTCACACAATGCAATTAAACAAGATAGTTTCATTCACTTTTACAGGCAAAACCTAATACTAGACTATGTCTGGCTAGACTGTATGAATTCTGTGTAGCTACGACGTTCGTGCACCTGGGTGATGTAGTAACTGGGATACCCTCAACAGCTGACACCCGAGGTTAGTCCTATCTGTCCAAATTAACCATAAGGACTAGGACCTCCTGCCATTCCCACTCATGACTTACCCTTCTCTATGTGAGAACGAGTAATCACGGAATATCAGGATGAATCGCTAGCTTAGCATGCCCACATTCATACTTTACCAAATTTCCAATATACATTCATGAGTTATCCCTCCACGGAACGCTCGTTCATAATCCAATTCATTTCGTCCATATCATATGTTATTCATCTTTCATTATTAATAATCTCAACTGAACCCTTCGTACAAAGATCCCTTAGGATACCAAATACCGAACGTTGAACATCAACCCCGAACAAGACCGAACGCTCGGAGTGAGACCAAAGGTCTCCAGTTCCAAAACGGATCAAAATCGAAAGTGTGAACATCGATTTTAAGAAAGAGACTGATTTCAATAATATTTTTTGAGAACGACTAGAACCAAACGTTTATATTCTAAGTGAGCCAATTGGATGAACTGACTCACGAGTTAGACCGAACACCAACAAGCCTAGGCCGAGTACTAAAACTCTAGGCTGGAACCAATTTAGACAGACACTGAGGGACATCAAATAAGGGTACTTAACTGGATCCGGTGAATAAACCGAATGTCAATAAATATACTTAGCCTTTGAATGAGGTAAACATCAAGAACAATCAGAATGTCAGTCAAAGACCGAGCACCGAAAAGGGCGAATCCTATTGAGTTTGGACGAACGTTCTTATTATATA